TTTTTTTTATTTTCTAAAAAAAAAAACTTCACAATCCCACTTTAAAATTTTTATATCTAAACATATTTTTTTTATTAAATAGTGTTATGAATATGAATATCTTTTTTTAATAGAGAAATGCTACAGTCCCGTTACAGAACAATTCTATTAAGATTTGTAATTGTTAGATCATAATGTACCGTCGTGGATAATTGATTTATCGATTAAAAATTCAGACGAAATAGTTGTTCATCGAAAACGTGGAATCTCTATTTTTATTAAGTTAAAAAAAAAAGGAAAAATAAAATAAAGAAAAAGTTGCATTTGTTTTCCCAGCAGCCACCACAGGCACCACTTTCTCCATTTTATTATATATATAAATTTTAAAAAATAAATTATACTAATAAACTGTAATCAACAATCATCAATTTTCCACCGTCTTTACCCCATTTTTACCCTTTTACACACAAACAATCCATTGTCTTGCAATCTGTTTTCTCTCTCTAACCCCTCTCTCCCTCTCTCTCTCTCTCTCTCTCTCTCTAATCCCTCAAATTCCGCTCACTTGTCTGCATTTTTTCTTCGCCGTCATCATCTCGAGCCTTTTGTTTCTCCCCTTCATTAATCAGACAAAATAACAGTTAATCCGCAGGTAGAGGTAGAATCGCCGGCGTTCGATTTTGATCGGTCGTGTTCGGGTTTTGCTCGATGAGATCAGTGGCGAGGGATCGTGGGTTAGTAATTAGGGCGCCGGGTTAGGGTTTTCTCTTTATGTTTGAGATGCTATTTGGGCGAGATTGAATCTCTTGATAAGTTATCTTTGCTAAATTGTTGGATCGCACCGTGTAGATTAGGTATTCGGGAATTCAATAACGTCGGCTCTGCAAATTTATAGTCTAGAGACGGGTTATTTTTAAAGTCCCGGATTAGGCTGAATTTGCACCTTCTTCTAGTTGAGGGGTATATTTGATTTTTGTTTTTTGTTTTTGGTTTTTGCTTGAGTCCATTGCAATGGATCATGTCGTGGGAGGAAAATATAAGCTTGGAAGGAAAATTGGTTGTGGCTCGTTTGGCGAGCTTTTTCTAGGTACCCTTTTGCTTTCATGTTTGTTTCACTATATTTTGTATTATTGAGAGTACTGTGTTTCCTCAATGTCTTCAAAAAAATTAAAGAGTGTTATATTGGTGTAGGTGTGAACATCCAAAATGGAGAAGAGGTTGCCATTAAGCTGGTAATTTTTGTTTAAACCGAACCACTCGTTAATGAACTGTAATTGTTGTTTTATGAATTTTGTAGGAAGTATATTTATTTATACTTATTAGCACAATGTGTTTGCTTGTTTATCGTGCTGTAACTTCTGCATATGAATATGGCTTTGAGTTCTCTTTCTGCACTAATTTTATAATCATTTATGTAAGTTTATATGAGTGCCAAAGGAAAACTGAGAGTCGTGGAGCTGCCCAAATGTTTGTTTTGAGCATTGTTTCAAAGGATTATCTACTTAAATCCAATTACATACCTGCTCTCGAGTTGTAGAATAAATGAATGGGATTATCAACTTAAGTCTTAACAGTGAGTGCTAGCTGCTTTTATTAAGATAAAAGTACATTTTAAATGGTTTTAACTACGCCAAACTGTGTCCAAGCTGCTACAAGCTTTTCTGAGTTTATTATTGAACTAACTAGACGCGTCACCATGCCAATTAGTCATATTTTTTATGAATATCTTGAACTTAATGTGTAATATTTTGGTTACATGTGTTGAGAAATTGTAAGTTATTACTTTTTACTTGGACAAGTTGATATGTTTTGATGTTATTTCTGAATCAAACAATCAGAATGTGTTTGTTTTTGTACTGCTACTATTTACCAGGAATCTGTGAAGACTAAGCATCCCCAACTTCACTATGAGTCAAAAATTTATATGCTTCTCCAAGGAGGGAGTAAGTTCCCTTTTTTTTTTTCCATTTTCTTTTTCTGTTATTCCACATATTTTTGTAGACATATACATAATTCTCCATCTTGACGATTCCAAAGAGACAAGTACATATGATTAGATCAAACATCAAATATGTTGGATGAGGTGCTTCCTAAGCTGTCACACACTTTACAAATATGACTATAAATATTATTCAATTTCTTTGCAACTTCATAGTTCATTGTTTGTCCAGTTCTTTCTTTCTTTTTTTCCCCGTTGCCTTTTTTGTGTGTTTGTGTGGTGGGTGTGTCGGGGAGGCTGAATAAAATATATTTTTAAAGCCACTTATACGGATATACAGCTATATGATTGATGGAGGCAACATCAAGTGAATATTTGACGAGTATTTTCTGTTCTCCTGCTAGGCTATTTCAAGATGAGGTGTGGGGATGTTGTCGTATGGAGTTCATATTTGCAGAAAATATGTCTGCATTCATATTTCATAGTAATTTTATACACTGCTGTCCGAATCACTTCTTTTTATCTGAGTTTGGGATTTGTTTAATGCGTGTAAATGTGAGATTAAGTTGATGGTTTGTTTAGGAAGTTCCTTTTGGAAGAATGAAGTGGAAATTAATTTATTGCTCACAGAGTTAAACTTATGTTGTTCTGTCTTATCATATAGCGGGTGTTCCAAACTTGAAGTGGTATGGAGTTGAGGGTGAATATAATGTCATGGTGATAGACCTCCTAGGTCCTAGTCTGGAAGATCTCTTCAACTATTGTAACAGGAAGTTCAGCTTGAAAACAGTGTTAATGCTTGCAGACCAACTAGTAAGTGATTTGAAAATATATCCTTATCTGGGGTTACAGTATTAGCTATCAGTTTCACCGTTAATGACTAAGTTTATGATTTACTTTAGATTAACAGAGTTGAATACATGCACTCAAGAGGATTTCTTCATCGTGATATAAAGCCTGATAACTTTTTGATGGGCTTGGGGCGCAAAGCAAATCAGGCATACATCTCTATCATTTCTTATTTAGATTAGCTTCCACATGATATTTCATTTGTTTTTTTTTTTTAGAATTCGGTTTTTATTTAGCCTGTTAATTTGCACGTTTATTTGTATTTTGAGCGACTGGACAATTTTCGCATTGCGCAGGGTTCCAAATGTTAATATTCTAGGAAACCTCTTGTATTAAAATGGTTAATGGTTTATGAATGGCTCTTCCCATCATTAAAAGCTTTAAGATGGCCGCAGCTGTATAGTGACACTTCATTATTTATTGCAGGTTTACATAATTGACTTTGGTCTTGCCAAAAAGTATAGAGATCTTCAGACTCATAAGCACATACCATATAGGTTTGTCTTTTGACTTTGTCAGATATTAAACAGACTAGATATTACTGCAGCATAAGATGATGTGCATCTTTAACTCCATACAGACTTTTCAGTGTTATTGGATGATGTAAAAGAATATGGAGTAGTTTAATATAGGAATGTAGTTGTGGTGTATATGATTTTTTTTTTTTTTTTTATATATTTTAGTTTTCACCTTCAATGCACTTATCTAGTATTCCATTTTTAACATTTGCATCAGGGAAAACAAGAATTTAACTGGCACTGCTCGCTATGCCAGTGTCAATACACACCTTGGAGTTGGTAAACATATATATAATCAGAAGTTCTTATGGGCATTTTATTGTAATTCTTTATTATCTGTTTGTTTACTTATCCTGCAGAACAAAGCCGAAGGGATGATCTGGAGTCTCTTGGTTATGTCCTAATGTATTTTCTGAGAGGAAGGTGCGCCATATATTTTGTGATATCTACCCTCTGTGTTTCTTGCCCTTTCATTACCTCATGATTTTTTACTTTTTTCTTTCATACGTCTTTTTTAGCCTTCCCTGGCAGGGACTTAAAGCTGGCACCAAAAAGCAGAAATATGACAAGATCAGTGAGAAGAAAATGTTGACTCCTATAGAGGTTCTTAGTGCCATCATTGCATTTCTGTATGGGTGTACTGTCCGTATTTGTAATGCGTGTTGCCAAAATCCCAAATTATTGCTCTAACCTAAATACACTAGTTTCCTTCCTGTTCATTTTGTTTGATTCGGTTTTGAAATTGAGTCTTGCCTTTTTCTCTCCCTGTTTCACTTTCTCGTCTAGTTTAGTCCTTATATTTATTTGCTCCGCCTCGGCAGAATTTTCGAAAGGAATGATAATACTTAAATACTCTGAAAAATAATTTTAGACACTTGTATACCATTAAAAAAGGTTGTAGAACATTTTTATTCTAGTTCCTGGAGTATTACGGAAACAGATTGTATATTTTAGAAATGAACAAAAAATGGATAATGGTCTGCTTTTCCCGTATTAGCTTTTAGTTTGCATCAGCTCTGATGGTGTGTACTTTGTTATATACTAGCTGTTCTGTCAGAAAGTTCACATTATCTACAATTATCCCAGGTGCTGTGCAAATCATATCCGTCAGAGTTCATATCTTACTTTCACTATTGCCGTTCATTAAGATTTGAGGACAAACCAGATTATTCCTACTTAAAGAGGCTTTTCCGCGACTTATTTATTCGTGAAGGTAATGAGATACTAATGTGATGTGTACCGATTTCGAACTTCGTAGGTTTTTAGGATTTTTCTCATTGAAATCTTATGTGCTTTGCTTGTTCAGTCGTCTTTGAATATCTTGTTTTTCAGTGTGCACATTTTGTGACATTTATGCAGGTTACCAATTTGACTATGTCTTTGATTGGACAATGTTGAAGTATCCTCAGATAGGTTCAAGTTCCAGACAGAGGGTAATAATTGATTGCATATTCTTATTTATGCTGTATGCTCTTTCTTAAAATGAAATTAGCAATTGATTGACTGGCTTCCAGAATCCCACTGGTAATGCTGTTCCGGGTACTTCTGGTAATGCTGCTGCTGGACCTTCTGGTGAGAGATACGGAAGAACATCAGGTATTAGCCTATGCCCAGTTTGAACTCCCAAAATGTAGACATCATATGATGCTGATAGTCATACTATTCCGTATTACAACCGATGTAGGCCAAGCTGATTACCTGGTGTTTGTGTACATGATAGTGAAGTATGTTAGAATCTGTGTAATGCATTATTGTATTCTAAAATAGAGGATGTAGAAGCTATTTTAGTTAAAAATTGTATTAGCTATTTTAATGATCCAGACCTGTATTCTCCTTAACAAGATATAGGACTGAGATTTAGTTCCTTTGTTAGACAGTCTTCAAATTGATTTTTAGTTTTCAGCTCTGTCGACATATGACGAATCATGTATGGAACATTAACTAGTAAGTTGGATGCTGCGGGATGATGATGTTACTGTATTGAGATATGGGAAAAGTTTATAATACAACAACAACAACAACAAAGCCTTTTAGTCCCAAACAAAAGTTGGGGTAGGCTAGAGATGAAACCCAATAGAAATAGTGGTAAAAAAAAAAAAGGAGATTGGAGCAAAAGAGAAAGTAGCAAAAGTCACGGTTCCGGCACGTTGATCGCTAGTCTCCAAGCGCTCCTATCCACCGCTAAATCCTTGGAGATATTCCAATCTTTAATCTTTAAGGTCTCTCTGAACCGACTCTTCCCAAGTGAGTTTAGGCCAACTTCTACCTCTCTTAACAACATCTTAACAACATCGGCCCGCTGTAGAACTCCCCTACGCACCGGTGCATCAGGAGGCCTCCGTTGGACATGTCCGAACCACCTCAGCCGATGTTGAACCAATTTGGATAAACATTGTTTGTTGGCATTGTTTGTTGGCATTTGAGTTATGTGAATCGTCGTATTTTGTTTGCCTTGATTGGAATTTGCTGGTTTCAATTTTCTGTTTGCTTGGGCCTGATTTGGTTGTTTTATTCAGTGGGACAAGACATTCGGGATAGATTCTCAGGTGCAGTTGAAGCTTTCTCTAGAAGGAACACTACAACAAGTTCTGGTCGGCATGGTGAACATTCTAGACACAGGACATCTGAAGATATGCCTTCTTCCAAGGATGTGGTATGATATTCTGTGCATGGTCTTCGTCATCTGAATTCCTTGAATTTTTTGTTTTCTTTCATGACGTTGGCAAACGTTGATCGTAAAATCATGCACACTTCTGATTCACATGAAATAATTTCCTTTAGATTAATCTAGGCTAAACTGCAAATTTCGTCATATTAGATAGATTATGAAGGTAGAATGATGTGTGTTACACTGGAGTGACATATAATAGCATTTTAAATCCGGTAATTTTTAATTTTGCTATAATTTCCTCCACCGTCAAAATTTCCAATTCATATATTTGGGGTGGAATTTGATTAGCAGCTTAAGTCTTGTAATTTAAAATTTTGTTCCAGTTTCAGCTTTTGACCATCAAATTTGGGAATTTAACGGTCAAACTGAAATTGCAACAAAATTTTAAATCATAGAACTTAAATTGCTATATGTATTATGTCATTCCAGTGGGACCTAAATTGCTATCTTCATAATCTAATAGGACCTAAATTGCAATTTAGCCATTAATTTACACCATCCTCCCCACCCCACCCCACCCAACCCAACCCACCGCACCCCACTCAAAAGAAAAAGGAATAAATAAGTAAACTTGCAACTTATCTTTGGAAACATATAAAATTCCTAATACTTCATCTAAACTGGTTTTTTGAATCGATCATCAAGTGTAAGCTTATAATGACCATGCTATTGTTTACCACCATCTTATTATTATTTTTTGTTTTACATAAAAATGCAGCAACTTGACTCGGAAAGAGGCCGAACTTCTCGAAATGGAAGTTCTTCAAAGAGGGCTGCCATTTCAAGCTCGTCCGGTGACCCAGATGGCCGCACGAGCAGCAGAGTTGTTTCTAGCATCGGTCGTGTGTCCACCGCACGACGAAGCCAACCGAGCATGGATCACAAGCCATCCTCTTTCTCTCGTGCCCCGGTTACTAAGGGATCCTCCCGGGATGATCCTCTTCGGAGCTTTGAGTTCCTCTCTATCCGGAAATAAACAGGATAATGTCTCATTTGGAGAAAAAAAGGAAAATGAATGGGAAAAAAAAAATGGGTAATGTGAAGTGGAAAAATGATGCCCGGGCCTATTTACGGAAATCTTCACGTTACCTTTTTTTCCTTCTTTTTTTTTTCGAGCTTTGTAAATGGAGAATGTGCGTTATGATGCACTGAGAGCTGATGGTACGGTTATCCGGGAGTTTGTTGTTCTTCTGTTGTGACTGCAGGTTTATTCTTTTACAAAACAAAGCTGTAATAAAAGTTTTAGCATGTTAGGTAGTTTCTAAAGTGTACTTTGCAGTAATGCCTTTGATTACGGTGGATTTTAATTGATACTCCAGTGATACTGTGAATACCTGCGTCAAGAGTTGTAACTGATGTTTTTTATTTCCAAAAGTATCGAGTTATTTCGCTACTTTGAGTCGACTTATTTATAAGTGACGTTTTATTTCCAAAAGTATCGAGTTATTTGGCTACTTCGAGTTGCCTTGTTTATCCATCCGAATAATGTGTTTAGGTATATTATGATGAAAAAGATTAATGGAAACTATACTTTTTATAGTTCAATTTGCAAACCATTCTCGAGTGCTGGCAGTGTTGGGAGATGCTTTTGTTTCAGAAAATATCAAATTGTAAAGCAAAAAGAGATGCTTTTGTTTCAGAAAATATCAAATTGTAAAGCTTTTGCTTCAGAGAGAGTAAGAAATATTACTAAGGATCAAGAAGAACTCCCGGCGTTTGCAAGTCAAAAATTAATTGGAAAAATCAACATTAGTATTATTTTTATCAACTATTATCAACTTTCATTGAGTAATTTCAACAAGCCATTAAAGAATATCATACTAACATCTTCATGGCTTCTCATGAATTCATCGCACATCTCGTATAAAAAAATGTAACCAAACAAGAAAAAAGCAAATGTTGTGCCGACAGAAGTAGCAGCCATATATGAACATATGATTTTGGCTCATGGATTTCTGAGGGCGGCCAATCTCTGTTCCAGTTCGTCAATACCCGAACTGCAAAACATAAGACATAAGAGTTTTTTTTTTTTTTTTTTTTTAATAGATACCCGAGACGGGACTGTATGTGTCAAGTAAGAAAAAGAGGCATAAAAACATATGTACCTGCCGGCACTCTCGCTGTTTTTCCCAGCAATTTTACCTTTCGGAGCAGCTGACAACTGTCAAAACAAAGTCCCAGATAGATTGTAGGTAAGCATGTTAAATGCTAAAACTACTAAATTATCACCAGATGCCACGGGAAAAAAAAAAAAAAAAA